ATAGACTTATCAGACTCTACAATGTCAACTTGTTGTACAGAAGCCACTGTTGTGTGCTTATTGATCCTAACAGCCTTGTCTGAAATATTTACAACAGAAAATAAAATCTTGTCAGGATTGACTTATGTTCTAGCAACTAATAGACCCTTTTGATTTAAAAACTTGAACGGCTCAAACAAATTATTTACAGAAGCGTCCAAATCACCTACAGCATACCCTGGTACAAGAACTTTACAATCAGGGGGAATAACTGTGTTCTTAGCTACCTTGACTCTAGCACAAATAGGAGTTGTCTCCCTCTCTAAATGAATTTGCTGACCACCTATCAACATGAGACACCTAGAAACTTGAATTGTCACATCATTGTTCTCTAAAAAATCCATCCCAAGGATTCCACACAAGTCTCCTAACTCAGTAACAATGAACTCATGACAAAACAAATTATCTCCTATTCTAAACTCTAAGTCAACCTTCCCTAACACTTTCATAGCACTACCATCTGCTGTGGTTAATGACAAAACACAAGGTTTCAAAGGGGGTCTATTCTCAAAAGTCAAAAAAACATCTTTGTCTATCAAACAAGCCTGAGAACCAGTGTCAACTAAAAACTTATTTACATGTTCTCCTACAGTACAGCCTACACTTAAACAGGACTTTTGTAACACACTAACTCTTAGCTTCTGAGTAGCCCTATTGTCAACAGAATTTTGGGTCACACTGTGGGCTTCGAATGCAACCCTGGGAAGTTTTCCTTATCCCTGACTGATGGTGTGTGAGAAGGGGGTGTCTTATCTTTCTCTACCCTATCCCTAGTGTTTTGTGTATGACAGTATCTGGCTGTGTGTCCTAATTGATGGCATTTGTAACACTCTATGACTTTCCCTGTTTGTTTTCTACCTCCCCGATAACTATTGGCCATTTTGTTGACACATTTCTCAAGAGTTTGAACTAAGCTTGATAATTCATCAGGGGTCTTAACAGGTGTAGTTTCATTATCTGTCCTAACACTATTAACACTTGGCTTAATGATGGAGAGTTGCGGCCCCTTAACTGCCTCAAATTCTGTCGCTAGTGAAATGGCACTCTCTAAAGTCTTAGGATGGTGTAAAATGACATGGGATCTAATTTCAGAATTCCCTATTCCACTCATAAACTGCTCTAAAATAACAAGCTCCCTATCAGAATAAGCCATATCTGGAAAAGCTAAGTTTCCTAACCTCCTAAGAGCAAAACCATAATCTGATGAGCTTTCATTCTGTTTTCTAAGACGTGATCTAAAATCTATGTGTGTGCAACAACTAGTTCTTTCGGACAAAACCTACTAGATAAGATGGATGTTAAGTTGTCATAATCTTTTCTTTGTTCTTGAGATAGGTCACCTAGAATTTTCTGTGCCTCCCCCCTTAATGACATAACTAATTGCTGAGACTTCTCTTCATGAGACCAATTATTCCAATTAGACACTTGCTCAAAATGAACTAAGTAATCCTGCCATGCTACATTTCTACCATCAAACTTGTCTGGTTCTTTTTCTCTACGTTTAGGTCTACCAAGATTTACAGGGGTACTGGGCAGTGTAGACATATTTGTCTGAGACCTACTGAGATTCTCACTTCTGTCTCTCTGTGCAAAGTTTATTTGTGCAGGTGAGGTACTCAAACTTTCTGTTGCTCTCACTCTATCTAAGGGAGTCACTGTCTCTCTTACAACTTTATTCTGACTTGCTTGCCTGTCCCTATCATTACCTTCAGCAAATGACACATGACGTCTTTGTCTTAGAGTTTTCTCCAGCTCATGCTTACATCTCTCATAGTCGGTAGTGAGGTCCTGCAGCACTTGTTCTAAATCTGAAATCTGTGAACTCATGCTAGTATCTAAATCACTCTCATGCATCTCAGTCTCACTCACAGGAGAGGACAAAGAGGGCTGATTGACTCTTGTCATAAGCTTACTTCTAGCACCTTGACTAGAACTTAACCTATCAACTCTAGGGGTTGATGTAGCTATTCCTACACTATCAGAACCTGAATTTAGCGAAGTCATGGTTTCTATTCAGATATCCTGGTCACGGCACCAAAATTATGTAACCGGAAGTAGAACTCTTTAATGAATAACTTAACAAAGTTAATAGCCAACTTGGCTTAAAGCAGTAAACTGCCTCCAGTTATGATTGTCAACCCAGGTAAGGGGATATCTGAACTATGATCAACGCTAAATGAAAACACAGTTGTAAGTTTTATAAATTTAATAAAGTGAGAATTAACCTTTGTAAATGATAACAAATAATAAATAATGATCAAAATTTAACAAACAGAAAAGTCTTTGAAATTTGCACAGGATCAATAGGGCTTTATCAAAAATGTAATTTAATCTGGTAGGTGATTCACAATAATCTCAATGAATAATCTCAATAAATAAATAAATAAGTAATTGAAAAATGTAATAGAAAATGGGAGGAATGTGGAAAAACTATGAAAAAATAATTTATGTCCCTACTGGGCTTCCATACTTATGAAAGTTGTCAAAAATCCTATAAAATGAATGAATTAGAAAAGTGTAAAAGGAATGAGCTACATCACCCAATATGACTACTATCAACACTCTAGAGTTGAACTGAAAATATCAATGCTAATTCTAGGTTCTAAAAATAACTGACCCAGAAAATAAACAACACCCAAAATAAATAATAAATAGTGGTTCTAGAAAATAAACCTGTTATCTACATATCCCTAGACCAGGCAGGACTTGGAAAGGGAAACTTAATTTACTTTAAATAACCTACATCCTAACCTATCATATAACTTTATTCTATAAAAACCTACATCTAACCTATCATAAAGTGCTCGCTCAGCACGTGCTAAATGAAACCTATAATGCCGTGTACCTTGAGGTTGGCATAAAATCAGAGATAATGAGCCATGAGGCTTATCCCTAACCAAGTGAAGTAAACTGCTCGAACACGGGTTTAAATACCCTAGCAAGGTCCAAAATAAAAAACCAATGACTATCAAGGATCCTAAAGCTAAGTTAACCAATCAGAACACAGCTATCAAAAGTACTACAGAAAGACTGCCAACATGGATGACACTTCCTGTTTAAAAAGTAAAACATGTGGAATGTCAACACATGTCCTAACTTATAACAGACACATAATAAAGGGGTTTTACGTAAGTAACAACTGAAAACAAATGATAAATAGAATAATCTGACTGAAATATCAGCAAATACTTGTTAAATATTATTTACGAAATGATGGCTATGAAATAAAAATCTAAATCACTACAGTTGTATGGACAATAGTACCATGTGTACAAAAATTTTATATACTTGTATGCCCTGTGTAGGAGAAATAAATAATATATTTTCTTAAGGCATTAATATAGGTGACGAATTTCATGAGAAGCACCACTTGCAAAATGAATTTTTTCATTTTCAGCTCACCTGAGCTGAAAGCTCAAGTGAGCTTTTCTGATCACCCGTTGTCCATCCGTCCATCTGTAAACTTTTCACATTTTCAACTTTTTCTCAAGAACCACTGGGCCATTAACCAAATTTGGTACAAAGCATCCTTGGGTGAAGGGGAATTTAAATTGTTAAAATAAAGGGCCAAACCCCCTTACAAGGGGAGATAATCAAGAAAAGACAAAAATAGGGTGGGGTCATTAAAAAATCTTCTTCTCAAGAACCACTGGGCCAGAAAAATTGAAACTTATGTGGAAGCATCCTTGGGTAGTGTAGATTTTAAATTGTTAAAATCATGACCACCGGGGGAAGGACGGGGCCACAATAGGGAATCCAATTTTTACATTGAAATATATAGAAAAAATCTTTAAAAATCTTCTTCTCAAGAACCACCGGGCCAGAAAAACTGAAACTTATGTGGAAGCATCCTTGGGTAGTGTAGATTCTAAATTTTTAAAATCATGACCCCCGGGGGAAGGGCGGGGCCACGATAGGGAATCCAAATTTTACATTGAAATATATTGAAAAAAATCTTTAAAAATCTTCTCAAGAACCACTGGGCCAGAAAAGCTGAAATTTATGTGGAAGCATCCTGGGGTAGTGTAGATTCTACATTGTTAAAATCATGACCTTCGGGGGAAGGGCAGGGCCACAATAGGGAATCCAAGTTTTACATTGAAATATATAGAAAAAATCTTTAAAAATCTTCTTCTCAAGAACCACTGGGCCAGAAAAGCTGAAACTTATGTGGAAGCATCCTTTGGTAGTGTAGATTCTAATTTGTTAAAATCATGACCCCCGGGGGGATCCAATTTTTATATTGAAATATATAGAAAAAAAAAATCTTCTTCTCAAGAACCCCTTGGTCAGAAAAGCTAAGACTTTTGTAGAAGCATCCTTGGGCAGTGTAAATTCTAAATTATTCAAATCATGACCCCTGGGGGTAGGGCGGGGCCACAATAGGGAATCCAAGTTTTACATTGAAATATATAGGAAAAATTTTCTCCTCAAGAACCACTTGGCCAGTAAAGCTGAAACTTATATGGAAACATCCTGTGGTAATGTAGATTTTAAATTGTTAAAATCATGACCCCCGTGGGTAGGGTGGGGCCACAATAGGTATTACAAAAAGATCGTCTGGTGAAGAACAGCAGGGCCAAAGTTATTCAGGTGAGCGTTGTGGCCCATGGGCCTCTTGTTATTTTATATTGCTGAAATATATGCAAATACTCTTGAACAACAGTTCATTCATGAATTTATATATGTTAGAATAAATGTTCGATTGTTTTATATCCATCACAAGCATGCATATACATATACATCTGTACATTATCATATCTGATATAAGACCAAGGGAATTACTATCAAGGAGTTTCAAAAGAAGGAGTTTCTCAATTTATTTGCTCTACGTGTACATTGATGAATGAATAAAATTGTCATATATAATCAGATAAATGAATCTTAAATGTCACTATTAAAGTTTGAAGGAAAGAAAAGTCACCATGGATACAATTTTAAAAATTATTTTTTTTTCACAGCTATCCACCAATTCCTCCCAAAGTGATCTACACACACATTGGTATATTTGTGGCTTGTGGATTTCTGCTTTCCTTTAGATATAAATGTAAGGAAGTGTCCCTTGTGTATTGTGGACAAATACTTTACCTGGTGTACATCATGTTTACAAACCCACAGGTTGGCTACACCCAGTGGCAAAAGGTGAGTCAAAAAAATATTTTTTTTGTGTGTGTATTAATGTGTGGAGATAAGTTATAGTTGTCTTTCTTTGTTTTATATGTCAGTTAAAAAAATAGCTAAATTATCTCTAGGAGCAAGTAAATATAATTTTGCATTAAATGGCAGTGGCAGATTTAAGGGGTGTGGATGGGGGTGCACCTGGCGCACCCCCCCCCCCCCCCTAAAATTGTTAAAGCATAAATCATAGTTTCGTCAAGAAAATGTAAAAATGTTCACTCGGTACACCTCATTTTTACCCCACAAAATCTCTAGAATCCAGGAACTTCAGGGGGCTTTGCCCCCTGGGCCCCCACCAGGGCTTCAGCCTGGACCCACTGGGGGCCTCAAGGCCTCAAGGCAGCCCCCAGACTCCTTGCCTACTTTTTGTGCCCCCCCCCCCCCCCCCCCCAACTTCAATTCCTGGATCTGTGCCTGAAAGGTTCAGTATAAATTCAAGATTATCAATTTGGGTACTTTTGATATGATTTATTTTCTAAAGTCCAACTCATTTTACTATGTATACAGTTACATGTACTGAGGTATGAGTCTGGTTTAATCTGTGCTCTTAGCAATGTCATGGGTACATAAAGCCATTAATTTATCAAAAGGATATTCCATAAAACTTTGTTATCTGGAAATCAATGGTACCAAGAAAAAACTTTGAGATATATACTGACGATTCAAGATAATGAGGTTAAAGTACATAAAGAAAGAGTAGTTGGGACTTCTGAGAGTCTTCAACATATCATATAATGTATTCGAGATATCAAAGTTCAACTGTATTTTTTAATCTTCTTCAACAGCAATTGTGCTTGTCATCCGACATATTGCACATAACTTTTTTGTACATGTAAGTATTTAAAGAGGCTGACAAGTTTATGGACCTTTATAAAAGAAGTTTTACATAATTGCTTTATGAAAACAGAAAAATTAAGATTTTCAGAAAGCATGGGTGGCTGGTGTGTCAATCAAACCAAGACCTTTTATTTCTTGATTGACAAGCTGTTAGTATTGATTTTTTATGGGGTATATTATGTGAAATTTTGGGTCATGTTTAAATATCACAAATAGATATTATCTCACAGTTTTATGTATTTTATATTAATTTATATGTTTTTTTTTTCATATTAATTTAGATAAGAATAGCATCTCGTCACATTGGTTGTGTAGGAATGTTCCTTCTATTTTCATCCCTCTTTGAAAACTTACCATCAAAACAACTACAGAAGCTAGGAGAAACAGTTGTTGGCATATTCCTCATGGCTTATGTGTACATCCTCAACAACAGCACGGAGGATAGACGAGCCTTCCTCTCACATATTCCAGGGGGGGACTGGACTAGGTATTTTATCACACTGGCTCTGGCTGCTGGTGCCATTAGTTTTTTCTCTGGTCATTTCCTGAGAGACATGTCCATAACAGTGATATGTGTGTTTGGAATTTTGACAATCTTTGTGGACTGCGACATCAATTTTTGGGTGGAAACAAAGGGCATGTTATTCTGGAATCAAGTGAGACTGATCATAGACGATCTGTGTATTTTGCTCGGGTTTGCAATGATTGTGGTGCGAGTGGACAATCGAATTAAAATGGATTAATTTGCACTGGTGTAGTTAGGTTTTAATTAAATATATTTTTATTGTTGCCCAAGATTGAAATAATCTCATTATTCCTTTGAAATACATGTACATATGTATCTTTGCCTATTGTGCCAATTATTGTATTGATCTTTACCCACCTCACAGTAAAACAGCTATTGTAGAATAAAGGTCACGATCCTTCATCATATTTATGTCAGGAGAAATTTGAGATAGTGATGTTGAGTTTTACAAGTAATAATCAAATAACCTTTGATAATAATAAGAGAAAAGGAAACTTGAAAAGTGCAGTTTGGGTAACATGGTCTTAATGTTTACAGATGAAACACAGTCATGAAATGCAATGTTGATTAGTAAACATATTATGAGATTGATAGAAGTATGAAAAATAATTCTTAACTGTATCAAATACTTGTACTTTCATTACTATGTTCATACATAAATGATATGCTTTGAAAGTTTTTGCCTTAGTTTTTTTGTTCAATATTTCATGATAATTATTATTTGTGACTACAAACATGTACCTCAGGGAATACTCTGGTAAAATGATAATTGCTGCATTGCACAAAAGAGGACAAATTGAACATTTCAGTAATAAGCTCAATGTCAAAGATCCAGGAATTTACCAGGTGTGGAATGTTAGATACAAGTTAATTAAATGGGTGTGTTTTTATTTTGGGGAGAAATCTGTGTCATATTTAACTTTTATCTGTAATTAATGTTTGAACAAATTGTGAGATGTGAATTCTGATGGCCCTTGTGTGGTTTATTATGAACTCATATATTAAGATGGTTGACATGAATGAATATCATGATTAATATATTAACTTGTATGAATTTTCATGAGGTCTTCAGAAATACAACAATGAAGACCCAATTTTTTTTTGTTTCTGAAAAAAAGTTTACAGGGGCACCAAAAATGTAGCATCTCCTCGCAAAAGAGTATATCGATCCCGATATAAATTATTACTTGTGTAACTTCCATTGTGCACACACCCACCCACCCACACACACACACACACGGAGGCACAAACTTAATTGCAAGGGGATAAAAATTTAAAAGTGGGAAATCTAATTGGAAAGCTAAGTAATCTCCATTAACTCTTACTGCAAATTCCTAAATATCCTCCTCTTGGATATGTTAGATAGTAAATTTACTCATAATGGAATTTAAGGCCTACCTGAACTAAATTTGTTGTACATACTTTACTTTTTCAGCATTATGAAATATATGGCTTTTTACACTTCACTAAAATTAAGTATATGATATGTGTTTTAAAGTGTTTTCACTTTTATTGAAGTCATTTTTTCAAATATATATCTTATGTTTAATCCTGAAGGAAGAACTTTCTATAATCATGATAATATACACTTAAAGGTATATAGCCATGTACAAATTCCACACTTTACGTTGCAATGAATATAATTATACCCCACCAAACAAAGTTTGGGGGTATATAGGAATCATTTTGGCCATATGTCCATGCAGTATTGTCTGGACTATAACTTTGTAATGGCGAATCACTGAAAATTCATACTTTGTACAGAGATTGCTTATGTCCTTTGGGTGTGTCTTGACCTTGATCCAAAGTCATTTGGGCAAGTTCAAGGTCACTAGTAGAAAAAAGTATAAAATTCTTGTCTGGGCTATATAACTTGGATTTTGTAATGGAGAATCACTAGAAGTTCATACTTGGTACATAGATTGCTTATGATCCAAGAGTGTGTCTTGAAAGTCAACTATCTGAACAAAGACTAAATAAATCTTAGAAAGTCAGCTAACTGAACACAGACTAAAGTCAACTATCTGAACACAGACTAACTATAGTCAACTATTTGAACACAGACTAAATAAAGCTTAGAATGTCAACTACCTAAACACAGACTAACTAAAGCGTAGAAAGTCAACTAATTGAACACAGACTAAATAAAGCTTAGAAAAGTCAACTATATAAACACAGACTAACTAAAAGCTTAGAAAGTCAACTATCTTGAACACAGAATGAATAAAACTTAGAAATTCAACTATCTGAACACAGACTAATTAAACCTTAGAAGTCAAATATATGAACACCAACTAACTACATGTACCTGAACACAGACTGACTCAATTTACTTTAGAAAGTCCACTATCTGAACACAAACTAACTTAAGGTTAGAAAGTCACTATCTGAACACACACTAACTTTAGGTTAGAAAGCTCACTATCTGAACACAGTCCAACTTTAGGTTAGAAAGCCCACTATCTGAACACAGTCCAACTTTAGGTTAGAAAGTCCACTATTTGAACACAGATTAACTTTAGGTTAAAAAGTCCACTATCTAAACACACACATAACTATAGGTTAGAAAGCCCACTATCTGAACACAGTCCAACTTTAGGTTAGAAAGGCCACTATTTGAACACAGATTAATTTTAGATTAGTAAGTCCACTATTTGAACACAGACTTACCTTAGGTTAGAAGTCCACTATCTGAACACAGATTAACTTTAGGTTAGAAAGTCCACTATTTGAACACAGACTAACCTTAGGTTAGGAAGTCCACTATCTGAACACAGTTCAACTTTAGGTTAGAAAGTCCATTATTTGAACACAGATTAACTTTAGGTTAGAAAGTCCACTATCTGAACACAGTCCAACTTTAGGTTAGAAAGTCAACTATCTGAACACAGTTCAACTTCAGGTTAGAAAGTCCACTATCTGAACACAGTCCAACTTTAGGTTAGAAAGTCCACTATCTGAACACACACTAACTTATAGGTTAGAAAGTCAACTATCTGAACACAGACTACATTTAATGTAGCTGAAAAAGTCAACGTTTTAACACAGACTAAAGAAAGCTTAGAATCATACATACAATGATATTTTGTAAATTTTAACTTCTATAATATGTTAACTATATTGTAAATAATCTGTGATTTCAAAGGTAAAATAAAGAATGTTTGATGACTGTGATTACCTCTCCCATAGCACTCTTTTAGCCCTATTATTCATGGCTTCATTACTAAACTTTCTCGAGAACCCTGTATGGAAAGTGGATTTGAGAATTACATACATGAAAAGAGAATATATGCATATGTGATAATCAAACCTTGCTCAATTACGCAATATTTTCTGTCCTTTTTTGTTTATCCATTTTCATTTATGAATGTAGATTTTGCACAGTTTAATGGGTGTGTGTCAGGATTATGTTGTAAAATTATGCCATTGCATGTTAAGTAATTCTTTTGACAAAATATGAGATGTGAAACACTGACGACTTTTATGAAGTTTTTATCATCTACTCAGTATTAAAGTTGTTGAATTCCTGAAATGTGTTGATTAAATTTGAACATGATTCTTGATGAGTTTGTCAGAAATAATGCCGACAAGCCTTAAAAGAGATTTTTTAGATCCTGCTAATATATGCAAATAACATGTCAACCATATAAAAAGAGAAAGATGCAGAAATATGACATTAATTTTTGAAAAAACATGTGTAAAAATATAACACTGCACAAATTAAAGACAATATGCATTGCTTTAACATGACAGTGATTAATTTATACAAAAGTAGGGTCGCTTATGTCATATTCATTAGGGAATTTGTGCTGAAAGTAAAGACAACACTACTGGGTATTCCGTTCTTGTAATGTAAAAATAAATCATATTGTCACTTGTAGGTTACCAAGTATAAACAAAACTTGGTCAGAAAAACCAGTTTAAAACCATTAGTGTAACATTATAAAAAAACTCACTTTGGACTGAGGAGATGTAGGGATTTCTGCAAATAGATTTCTAGGAAGTTTGAATATTGAAGATGATGGACTATTATTTATTACATTTGTGAATGCCTGATAATTCATCATCATTTACCATTGCTCTCCAACCCCCCAACCCCCCCCCCCTTTTCTTGAGAAAAATATATTGTTGCTTTAGAATTAGTCAAATGACTTTGTGACAAGGCATTTTACTTTGTTTCTTTTGTTATTTATCTTTCAAAAGACAATTCCACGTCATACGAACGGCATATTTTCCCTCAAAATATTCTGTTCAATCTGATCAACATTAAACTATTATATACTGTAAAAAATAAAAATCCAATGAGGTATCTTTCCTAGTCAGTCAAGAATATCAGTTGTTTGAAGTGACGTCTCCTCAAATTACGGTTTTCTCCCTGACCTGTAGGTGCTGAGTGATCTTGATAGATATGATAAATTATACCTGCAGCAAATGATCCCATTGTTGGTGCATTGAAGATGACGATAGTTGAGTAACTTGAGTTATGTAGCCTATAGAATACACAGCCCTTGGAACTGACAGTTTTAATAGTAACAAATTCCACTTTTACAAACACTGTCAAAGGCACTGTAAAAAAGTGACCTTTGCAATTGTGTTAACGCTGTGTCGCAAAAAATTTCGGAAGACTCTAAATTGCAGTCAAGATCGTAAGGAATTTCAACAATTGGTTTTCCATATTGAGATTTAATATTGAAATATCCTTTATTAATTTTCGATCCGACGCTGAAAATGATTGCATGTATTAATTTTTAACTTCAGTATCAGGTAGTCCAGGAATCATCATGCTGTTTTTAGTTATCTGCCTGACTGTTCGTTATGTATAAAGTTAAAGTCATTCTTATTACGACCGTTCTGGAGTATACTTAGGTGACTTTCTAACTAATATTACACATGACCTTTCAATACTAAGTCAATGCTTCGGATATTGCATCTGTCCAACATTTCATGCTCCAGTCACTTTGATTAAGGACAGATTTCAGTCAGTTCACAGCTTACCAGACATCTCGAGATGCAACTATAAATGCTTATTTGAGGTATTCATACGTCGAATGGTATAAATAAGTACTTTTATGCTCCACGTATTCCAATATCTTGTTAAATGCAGCTTTTCAGCTTGTTTCTATCAGAAATGGTATACCGTGTGATTATATTTAAACTAAATATATGGGTGCTCCGCCTGATACATGAATCGGATTCTGCACCTGACCTACGTTTTTCTCAACTTTGACCCAGATTAAAGAGATCGGTTAGGCTGCTCCATCATATTTCTCATATGATGAATCCTGAATCTTGTTCACTACTGAGTTTCGGGTATGTGTAATAATACATGTAGTGTTTTGAGAAATCTTCCAGAAAGAACCCTTATGATAGTTTGGGTCTTCATATTAAAAATAAAAACATATGGCTTGCAAAAATACATGTACATTACTTGAATATGAAAAAGAGAAGTGATGTGAGATTTTGATAGAATATTTTATATAAAATATGAGACAAAAACAACTTTTTCTAAGAATGAGCATGGTTTGTACACAACCACAACATCACAATACAATGTTAATTTAATGCATCATCATACTCATGTGACAGTAAAGATCTCACACAGTGAACAGAATGATCAGTGCTTCTCTACTGTGTAATATACACTTGACGTTATACGAAATCGAATGTTATCACTATTAATTTTGCTTTGTTATATCCCTGATTTATAACGATCAAATCATGATAATATGATGGATGTAATATATACAAGTATGTTATTTGTTACACATATGAGGTATATATATACACAGAAAATACAGTACAAAATATGCACAGTTAAACACAGCTGCGTATTGGGTATATATAAAACCAATCAGATTGTGGTCTGCGTGTTCGAAAAGGCATGTTCAAAGTGAGTAAGGATTTCATTTGAAAAGTAGGAATCCAGAAGCACTTTGAATGAAATAATCTCGTGATAATTTTTTTAATGTGTCTTGTCATACTAATACTTTGTATATAGTTTGTTCTCCTTTAAAACCTGGATTTCTAATCATGTAAAGGACGAAGAGCTATCAAGAATACTTCATCGCTTTTTCTGGTTTGCATAGGTAGATTTCCAACTGAAATTAAAAGAGCGAATAATTTAATTCATATACTACATACATATTTAACACATGTATATAATACTCAAGCATGCTATTAAATTTAATACAAGGCTTTATTACACAGTTATATCATTTATTTGAATTTTCTTCAGGTTATTATTCTTAATACACATTTTTTTTTTACTTTGTCCTTCTGATAAAATTAGAGGAAATATTATTTGTAAATCTAATGTGCCCCTGATTTGTACATGAGTTATGTATAATTAATACAGTGATTTATTTATAATTATTGCAGACATAAGTTGTTTGTGAGATTTAGTCTTTTATCGATTTGCATGGTTGATTGGTGAATCGGAAAAACACGTCGGAAAGGTTCTACTTGATTGACAATGGTGTCAAATATCATACATAACTTTTGTTCGATGCGTCCATAAAATCACCATCGACTGAGATCCCCCCAAATAAATGAATGCAATATGTGTGTCAGAATAACAGACCAAAAATAGGCCGTGACAAAGCGAAGAAAAACTCTCGACGTGGACAATAATTTGGTCTACTATTCTCACAAAGTTATTATCTACGCTTGTGTGTCTAGTGCACTTTTAAGACAATTACTTATGATAAATGACTATAATTGTTCCATATAGAAGGTGGAGACAAATTTATTAAAAAAAATTGTTTCATTTTATACATAATAAAGATGAAATCTTTCATGAAGCAATAATAATATTTTTTAAATCATTTAAGATCAACCATTAATTTGCTTATTTACTCATTTTACTTACCATAGAAAGGTGACCTCTAAAATTTCTATGACCCGGCCCAAAACCGACCTGTAGAGCACACTGTCTTGACTCCACAGCACCTATAGTTTAATATTTTAATTCATTGGTTTATTTCAGTACAAGCCCTTACTTTAAATATCATTTGAAATTAAGATTTGAAATGAAATTGATTAATAATTGGATGTACGCACCAAGTGAACTCTTTGAGGCGTGTGCTCCATTTAATACACCTTCAAGTTTTCCGTCAGACACAATATATTCAACGTCTTTCCACTCTGAATGCTAGAAAGAAGGAAAAAAATTTTTTTATGCCAATAAAAAATTAATATATGATTTTGATAGGTGGATCACATCAGGTACTGTATAATAAGGTATATTTACTGGTTTATGGAGTTGTAATGCAACGTGACCGGGTTGTCTTGTTGTTTTCACCGTGTATCCAACGGAATTACGCTTTGTAAATACTTGAATGGACCCAACATCGCCACAGTCTCCATTGTTAATTAAAGCTTGTGACTCGTTAAACTCTAATTTTTCCAGTTCCTTGTAACGAAGGCGTATGACTAAGGTTTTGCCGAAGTCAACATTTGTGAACCTAGGAATAAGCAATCGACTTTTTCCATTGAAGACTGCCATTCCATCTTGAACATCTACATTTTCATTGCTAATATAAGTCCATTTTCCAGATGCATCGGTGACACCATTATTGAAGTTTAATTTCACCTCGGGTGTGCAGCCTGTCAAGTAAATATTTCGTAAAATATTTTTAGGAAAATACACTTACATTATCATTTGAATTTTTCAAACAAACCGTCACTGAATTCTCCCAAATACTGTAACAGAGATGTTCTACTTCAACTTTATATTAAATTGTAACTCACCAGCAACAGGTTTCTGGACGTTAGTCGCCTTAAAGGTCGGATAACCGGGTTCTATTACTGCGCATGTGCACTTTCTTTCGTTATATTGCGTTCCTTCTGGACAGGGCATTGTGACATATCCTATCCCTATCATTAGCTGCTTGAAATTCTGTCTATCGTTAGCGATTGGAATTTTGTCACAAACTGGCCTTGTAGGTGCTTAAAGACAAAAATGGTGTTATTTCATTTTTTGTAAAGTTTAATTGATTTTAGAACATAATTTTCACAAATAACTAAAAGTATGACATTTAGAATGTATTATATTCAGTAGCTAAACGACTTCATATGTGTACATGTACTTACTGTTATAAGAATTCAGTTCCACTGGTGAATTCAATGGACAGCTTTTACGACAGGTCCTATCAACATCCCTGACACAACCCTCCCCTTTTACGTAATGAAATCCAAATCTACAACATCTTCCTATGGAATAGCCATTCGAACACTCCCAGAAGGCGCGACAGTTTTCTGGTTCCTCATACTCCTTCTCCCTGACATAACTGCAGCGATCTATATAACAATACAGAATTTTAAACATTTTGTTATATATTTTTGATGATAATCGTAGATATGTTACAATTTTAAATGCCTTTCATTTGAAGGGAAAAGACTTACCCACAGGACAATAAGATCTTTCTGAATACTGACAAGACAGAATAGTTTGATTCCAAAATTGTCCAAATGGGCACCTTTGTATCATTGCTCTAAGACGACCAAGTTCTCCATAATAACAGTGGACAAACAAGTTACATTCATTGGGATGACTGTTGAATCCAGCGCCATTGGTCATTTTACAACCCTCACAGAGTACTGGAAGATAATATTAAATCAAAAATTATATTTCAGGACTCATGAAGAGCACGATGGCTCAAAATTTCGTTACAAATACAAGATCTCTGAAAACTGCAATCTTACTCTTTGCTTCCCTAGGAGTTGGTTCTGAATTAACGTCTGTAGTCAGTTTAGTGATTACATTGCCTTTCGGTGTTACAGTTTGTTGAGGTGGAGCTAGGGTTGGTGGAGGAAGGTAATTGTCCTCCACGTTACAGAACAGCTGGACATATCCAGTCATCAGGTAGACAAGGTGGACGTAATTCTTCACTCGGATAATCTCGTTCTCACTAGAGGATATGAGTTTCAACTCTTCTTCATTTGTATTGTATCCAACCCCAACGGTAAACACGGAGATTCCCCTTCTGTGAAGACGCGCTGCTTCCATTTGGGTGTAATAGTCGTATCGGGATTTATCATTGACAATCATGATTATTACTTTAGAGACACCTTTCCTGCCTTGTGTCTCAACAAGTTCTCCAGCAGATTTCAACGCTATAAAAGACATACCAGTAGAAAAGTGTTAATTTAATTATCACATGCATTTTCTAATTTCAGGCTCTTTTTATACTTCAATCTAGTTCAAACTAGCTAATTCAGAGATTTGCGGTCCCCCGTTTTCAGGGTCATATTGGTTGAAGCACTGATATAAAGATATTTCAACTGTCTTGTTTGTCCACCATATTATTATTATTATTTTTTCATATTTTTGAAGTAATATGATCTAGTGCAAAGTTACGACACCAAGGTTAAAGCTTTTTTTGATAATTAAACTTCAAGGTCAAGGCAATGAGGTCAATCATCAAAGTGCAATTAGAAAGGACTTCTGACAAGTAATGAACATATGGAAATAGGATAGTCATGACTCTTGGTGAAAAAGTTATGGCCAAGGTTAAACGTTTTGAAACTTTAAGGTCATGACGTCAAAAATCATAGTAAAATCGTCTCGTCACAGACAATGCACATGGAAAATATGAAAGCCCTATCTCTTCAGGTGCAAAAGCTAAAACCAAGGTAAAATTTCTTAAATAGGAGGTTAAAGTTCAAAGTCATGAAGTCAAAGACCATAGTGCAATCGGAAAGATCTTGACACAGTTAATGCATATGTGAACATGAATACCCTACCTTCTCTCATTCAAAAGTTAATGCCAAATTATTTTTTTAAAGTAATTAAAACTTCAAGGTCAAGGTCTTAAGGTAAAAATTCATAGTATATTCTGAAAGTTCTCTGGTCACAGGTAATGCACATGTGAAATATGAATGCTTTATCTTCTTTCATTTAAAAGTTATTACCAAGGTTAATTTTTGGTAAAATACAGACACAGACGAATGAAATTTAATGCCCTCGAGGGGAGGGGGGGGGGGGAGTAAAAAATACAAGAAACCATAGTTCCTTTTAATGCGTACCAATATCATATCTATTGCTATCTTCGGGTAAACCTAATCGAGCTATTCTGTCCTCTAGTTCTGAGCGGTCTCCACTGACGGGTATCTGTAGAGCGTCGTTATTACCCAGTAACACCACTCCAACCTGCACCTTATTCTCTCCCATGATAAGCCGGTCCAGGAGCTGCACTAGAGCTCCCTTCAAATATCCAAAGTCTTTTTCGTTGCCTGTACCGTCTATCGCCAACACGATGTCAAATTTCCTGTCGCAAACTGTCAATGAAATAAATCTGTTTTTTTAAAATCCATTTTTAATGATAACAAGTCTAAATAATGATATGCGTCAAACTTCAATAACTGCTTAATTAATTCTTTTGAGAGAAAATATATGTGAAAATACTTTGTCGTTCTAATCAATTTGCTTTTAAAGTGACAGTTAAGTCTTTTTCATGTAATTGAACTTTTTGAGTGGCTTTAGAGTTTAACACACAGCATAAAAAAGTTTTCTAATCAATCACCTTAAACACTTCAAGTTCAAGAAATTCATACGGCACTATTATATCATAAGGACTGTTCGTTAAATTTCAGTGGTGTATGATCAAGATAAGTGCATGTTCACACGAAGAAACGAAGTTCGCCGAAGTAAAAGTAAAACAATTTTTAAAACGTAGAACACATGTATGTGTTTTATTGTTTTAATATTTGAAAACAAAGTATTCTTAATGCTGTATTATTGCATAAAGCAATAATATGACTAGATGTTTATTTGAAATTAAGTAAACACTGTAATTATAAACCACACAATTTATTAATTCTAAATATCTGTGTAAAAATTGTATAAGAGAATGCATAATTGCCTTTATCATATCATAAACATGTCTAAAAACAATCCACTAAATTGCCATTTAAGCAAAAAGTTTCTAAAGGGATAACTTGTCGCTTGTCTTTCTGGTACTAAATAGGCAATCTACCAACCACCGACAAATTCTAAAACTTTATTAATTGTTTTGAATTTATTTGTAGTAAATTAACCTTATTTGCAAATTAATGCTAATTAATTATCAGTATATTTTTTGTTTTCTCTTTAAATTGCAGGTACATTGCATATGTTTATCTTCGTTGTACGTCTACTTTTTGAATTGCTGTAGAAAATTGGAATACATGTAGATACTGTTATTTTGGGCTATTTTTGTCGATTTAAAATACTACTAGTGTATTTTTTCTTCAAACAGTTTCTTTTCCTTCTTAAGAATTATTAAATAAGATAAAAAGAGTTTAAGTAATCGTCAAATTATGAAGTAATATATAAAACGGAAGAAAGAAAAAGAAATCGTTATACTGTTTTAGACTAACATTGACGTCCCTTAACAACTTAACTCTTTTTTTTTCAAATGGTCAAATCATTTGCATGCATGAAGTGGTGCTAAAGCGACAGCTCATTGTATTTAAATACCAATTTTTTCCTTATCTCAAAGTTTTTCAAAACCATTGCCTTAATTGGCCAAACATGCAGAATGCAAAATGAAAAACAAACCATGCAATCATGCTTTCGTGCGCTTTTAAACGTTTACCGAATGTATTTTTCATATTGCATCGTCTATATCTGTTTATCGCTCGGATGAAACGTCTTCCTACAAATTAAATACAGACATTATTGGAAATCAATGCATATCGGTATATACCTCGTTTCCTGGCTAAGTATTCTGGGACATGTGTCGTCCTATCATTTTCATTTGGCTTCGGTGACCAGTGAACCATATTGGGACCAGGTGTTGTTAGTTCGAAATGAAGCTGGGTGGTGAGCTTTTCGTTTTGTTTTTTGAACCAATCGGGAGGAATATACGGGATGTTCCAACGAGGAATGCTTCCATTAGAGTTGGGATCCTCTATCCAGTGAGCAGGCTTCTCCAAGTCAATTTTGATATTTATCCATTCTTTCTGATCCTGCCATTCTGGAGGTTTAGCGACATCCGGTGGCAACCAGAACGAGGTTTTAGGGGTCAGATTGTAATCACGGATAACAGGTGGCTCAAGATACTCCCGTATATGCACTTTCCGTGTGATTTCTGTGATGCTAGGTGGCCCACCGCTAACTGGAGGTGGTGTGGTGGACATTGGGACAATATAAGATGCTATTGGAGGCCTAGACTTTGATTCATGAGTTGATATGCGAGGGTAGAAGTTTCGAGAAAGATCATTTCCCTGAGGACCAGATGGAGTATCAGAGGAATATCTATTCACTACTTTTACGAGAGTGTTGGTGTTATGTTGGAAAAGACGATGAATGGAAGTACCGTAGTCTTTTCGTTCTGAAAGAAAGGTGTACATGCAATAAAGAAAGAACAGGCATAATCATGTCCCAGCTTATTTGTCTTATGCAAACCATGCTAAAACTACCACCATCATAAATTGTAGAACCGTTGAAAGATATATAAAGCTGTCACCAATCATACATCATATATCATTCTCTACTAGAAATCAAATGCAAAGATTGATCTAAAATTTCTCATTTAGCGCAAGAAGTACTTATATTCATGAAGAAAATGATATGTTTAAAATGTATTTTTCTTTCTAAATGTATTAACATTAACGAACAGGTGAACATCTGGGTATATTAATTTTAGAAGAACACAATTTACATATACCTTTATTAAGGCCGTTATCGCGTCCTTGTTTAGGGGAGTCTGGAGAATTAGGGCTATCTATGGGGTTTTCGGGTTCTTCAACACTTTCACTACTACTGTGCTCTTCGCTGTAGGAAGAATCATAGTAGCTCTCTTCACTACTAGAGTCACCTTGGTCTCCGACTCTTCCACCACGTGACAAATCTTCATCTGTATTTCCACTGAAAGATCCACTACTGCCTGAGTCACTACTACCTGAACCACCACTGTTAGATCCATATCCATTTTCGCTAGATCCAGAATTGTTTTCTCCATCTCCTCCTTTCTCCTTACATTTGCAATTTTTGGTCTTAGAGCTCCCTTCTCCTGAATCTTCATTGGAAGAATCGTCGCTGCTGTCTCCAGAAGGAGCTGCAAGACGGAAGCCATTGTTGGATTTCTCATCACCTTCTAACTCTCCAGATACACGGTTAACATCATTTCCACCTTTAGATTCACTACTTGAACTATCTGAACCTGTTGATCCATCGTAAGAATCGCGAGCCACTCCACTTGAACTTAACATACTGTCTGATTTTCCGTTCAAATCACCATCGCTTCCACCTGCATTATTTTCACTAGATGAGGATTCTTCACTCGACGCACTACTGGATCCATCTGAACCACTTCCTCTTTTCGAGGACTGTTCACTTATTTTTTCAAGAATGTTAAATTCTCCTCCATGCGTATCCAAATCGTCTTCTTCTTCTGAATCATACATATACACATCAGGCACGAAGTTAGGCTCCTGAACAGCGTTATGTCCTGTGCTTTCGGCTGTAACTTTGCCGGTTGAGGGAACCGAAGTGATTTGCCCGTCGTCTACTTTTGCAACATTTTCTTTCTCATACAGTTCAGTCAAAAACCCTCCAAATAAATTCATATTATCATCCTCCTCTTTATAATATGTGTCCTCTATAGGTTGTGGAGGTGGAGTATGTTCACCAGCAGAATATGATACTGTCGTTGCGAGTGTTATCCCCGAGTCACTATTATCGGATGTAGTACCTGTATCATCTTCGGAGTCACTATACACAACACCACAACACATTACAAAGAGAAATCCAACTTTGAAACTATTCTTCCATAATCCCATTTTTGCCATATCTGAAATAAAACACAGAACTACTTTAAAACCTGGCTATGAAAACTTTTCTCAACATTAAACGCATTGTTCTTTACGATCGCATCAAAGTACTCTGTGGAATGAAAAGAAAACACATTGATTAATATCTTTATAATTTTTGCATGAAAACATGTAAATTAGAGGCCAAAAGTCAAAATTGATTGACGCGTTGATGTCAATGTGACTGTATGATTGGTGCACTTTTGTGTCACGTGATATCCGTTCAGTTTAAACAACATCTGGCTCATTTTGCTAAAGGCTTTCAACCTATGTCTATATACGTGTAAATAAGTTACTCTGTAATAAAAGATAGGTAATTAGGAGAGTTAAAAATTCAAAAGGTGTTAAAGTGAGAGAATTAAACATTTGGAGTTCTTCAAGTTAGATTGTATATTTTTTTTAGACATGGATTTTGATCTAAACCTTTCTTGATTATTATTAAATTGTGAATGTCTTACGATGATAAAGTCATTCAAATATCAAATTTAGCACCTTCTTTGAATGCATTTTATTTGTTTGTAAACATGTTTTCGCCTGGATATCGCTATTTCTAAATGCAGCGTTATTTGGTCAAAATTCTTAGCAAAAATTTTCACACTTTGATGATTCTTTAGAACTTGTACAAGGTATTTAGCGGCGCAGAGCTGTCAAACGGAATTTCGCCGTCACTGACCTGCGTGCATCAAAAAATCAACAACGTCGTATATATTATATATACTTCTGTGTGTTTGAAGATCTTGATATAAGCGTTAATTACTTCATGATTGATAGAAAAAGAAATAAATTGTCTTATTGTTAATTATCATACTCATAAATTATTTTGTTGTTGACATTCCAATATGCCGAAATGTGTTCATCTTCACAGATATGTAAATGAAAACTAACTTAATACATTTTGATAAAATTTTATTCTACACTAGATGAAATCCCGCGCAAGCGCGGGGAATTGAATTTATACCACTACCGACAGAAAATATATTGTAGTTCTCTACTGACAGCCTACAGGCTTATAGCAGGAACAAATACTTAGTTCAAATCCCGCATGAAGTAGATTTACCTATCCAACCAACCCCCCAACCCCCCCAACCCTCGTTTTTGTGTTTGTTTTATTTTATTAATTTTTTTTTGTTTTTTTTGTAACTTGAAAAATAGCAATTTCATTAATTGACGTTTATTGTGAAACCTGTTATACTATGTTATGGATATTTTACTTCAGATGCTCTTATTTCATTTCCGTCAAGGATAAAAGCAACGAATATGCACATTTTACTAATAAATGATTGGGGGGGGGGGTATCACAGGTACTTATTTTTTTTACCTATCAATAAGGTACATACATATTTATAAACCAAGTACCTGTGTAAAAATTAGCTTTTAACGCCCTATGAATAGGCTGAGTATTTGATAGAAAAGACTAAGCTGCAATAATGTAGCCCTCTCCGATTTTTTTTTTTTTTTAATGATATTTTCTGGCCTCTCTCTCTCTCTGCCCCCCCCCCCCCCTCAAAAAATATTACATCTTTAATTGTATTTGAACAATACCTTATTCATTAATTTTCTCTTTTCATGTAAGCAAGCTTATTACGAAGTACAAATTGTACTTCGGGTTCGTTGCCACGATGCTCTCAGTAAGGAATATATACAATTTTTACCGATAAATTTATTAGGAAAACCTACTACATACATGTATATGTAATAGTCTTTCGATATATAATTATATTCACAACTTATAGTGTTATCAGTGATTTACCATTATTTCAATTATGACTATTTACACAAAAGCTTTTTTTATGGTCATGTAGCTATAATCGCCTCGTTTTTTTCTTAACATCGGGCTCGATGCTATATGATGTTCTAGAAGCTTCCGTCAATATAAAGATCGGTGAATGACGAAAATATTTTGCACATTTCCCTTTTTAATCGGTTATCACAACTTATTTCTTTTATATAATTTAAAATCGAGTTTTGATTGAATAATTCAGTGATGACGTTTTCTGTAATAAATAAACGATTGCTTGTTGTCAGTTTCATTAAAAATTGCCAGTAACTTAGATCCGCCAACCGGAAACGCCACCGTACTCACGTTTTAGCTATTTCATGGCTGTTTATAGAAAATGAAAGTAGACTTTTAATTTAATGTACGATACTTACTATGCGAGTGAAATCTAAATATAGTTTACGGACATCAGCTTGTATCTGGTGTATTGTTAAAGGAGTAAGTAAGAACTCTGGTGCACCCGTTTCGGAGTTTATTTGCAAAATTTATTAATTTATAAGTATAGATTTCTGCTATTTTCACCCGTATTCAAATGAACGAAAACCTCATTAGCTCCGTGTGACCTTTGTATAAATTAGATTGATACAGTATTTACAAAACTAAAGTATGAACAAGTACAATGTAAATTCGCGCTAACAGACCTCAAACTTGCAAATTATTCAAATCAATAAAGCGAATTCCTGATCATGATCTTTTTACAGATTAGCCTTTAAAACCGAACTGACGATCATTGATTGAATATATTTTAGTCATAATTGAAACAAGTGGAGAAGACCAATTCAAAAACTCTTTAATCAGTCCACAGACCACATAAAAATACTAGAATATCATTAGTAGATGATAGATTTATTGAAATGAATATTTTTACTACGACGTCGTAAAAGTTTTTTTTAAACTTGGAATAAATTATTTAGACAATTACTCCCGTAATAAAATAATTTAAGTGAATAATTATAACAACTAATGTGCGCCATCTTTAAATTAGCTTGCAATTTTCAAAAATCAATACATTTACTTTTAAAGAATGTGATTTTTTTATGTCTTTTTTCAGCTTATAACATACAAAATGCTGTTATGTGTGTGTGTGGGCCATGTCCTCAACTATAAAAGTAAACATGTATTTACTACGAAAATGGAGGTTACTATTAACAATTTTGTAATTGTTTTGCAAAATCGATGATTTCTTAACTCAAATTAAGTCAATTCATTCATATTGATAGATTTGATTTAATCAATATAATATCAAAGGTTAAAAAAAAAATGCAAACCCACATCACTTAACTTCCTGAAATAAGTCTTTAATGAAATTTTTTGTAAACGATGGAGAGACGTGACCTTCGTAATTGATCACAGGATATGAAATGTATATCTTTTTTTTTAATACCCTATGACTGTTGAAGGTATATGTAATGCATAAAATGAGAGAAATATGTAATTTTCATGCTACACACGTACATCTTTTAATACCTGTACTTCATTTACAAACAAATCTCGGAGGTAATTTGTAACATTTCAAATAAACTTCACGAGCAGAATATTGAAATTAGAAAAGCGCATTGTCTTTTTACCTTTCTATTCACCGTGGCTCAGATGAAGTGACCAATGATATATAACTTAGATGTGCACATCGACTTAAGTTTTATTGGACAAAATGTTAATATAGAATCCAATTCTATAATTAAAACACCCTAAAAGGGGGGGGGGGTGTAATTGGGTGGTTATCAAAAAATATCTAGACGATGCACTTCTAAACTGTTGTGCTGGATTGTTCTGTCATCTCTTGGCTAAATAATCACAGTCTACTGGTATATATAATATACACAGACAGTATATACATACAGTTTTGTCTTTTTTGTTTTTTTTTTTTATTTATTCATTGGAGGGGGGAGGGGATTGAGCCTTAGTTTTAATTTTAATCCACAAGTCTAACAGGTGTCCTTTATAAGTATATTATAAAAATTCTTTGATAATATCAATATGCATTTTTGAAAACAATGTAAATGAGAATGAAAAATAACATCTAAGAACTTGGCAATTATTTTTTTAATTTATATGATTCAATTCTTAATAACATAATATTTTCAATCATAGTAAAACTGAACAGTACATGGTAAAAGAAAAGGTAGTCAATTCTGAATCTCTGATTTAAAAAAAAAACAAAAAACAAAACTATGTTTGTATTTGCCTTTAGAGATATTTTTGTGATTCAAACTTCCTACACCTCGATTATCATTAAGAGCATTGATCACAAATGAATATTTTTTTAAATAATATACCGACCCCAGTCAACATGAAGATAAAGCAAATATCTGATCTTACTTAATATGACATCTCAATTCTTAAAGATAAAATCTTTGGTCTTTTTTATATATAAAAACGAATATCAGAATCTTATTTTGTTTTCTGGGTGAATTTCAACAAATTTCTATTTTTATTTCAAAACCTTTAATTTTGAAAATAATATATTAAGTCAAATGACAAACTATCTTTCTGATGCAAACTAAAAGGAACAATGATAATTGTACAGCAAAAACTAAACTGCAAATTAGTACAATCGTACTCACCTAATAGATATCTGCAAATGTTTTGAAGATTTTGAAATCCAAAATCCAATTTACAAATAAAATTGAGGAGCGAGCACCATGACCCAGCACCTCCGAGGGCAAACACCTTAAACACAACAGAAACGGGAAAGAGCTCTGGCGAGCCTTCATAGGCCGCCCAAGATTTTATTAATCCGTCACTGCCTACGTCTTACCTAGTCAGAACAGGTGAGGTAAAAGGGGAAAACACATCTTTTGAAAAATATTAACAAAGTACAACGTGGATAAGAGCTTTTTTATTTGCTCTAGAATTTACGTGTTTTAATTATGATAATCAAAGAAATTTGCATGACATCCAATGAACGTTTAACTGGTAATTAATTTTCACATGTATACTTTTATACAAGAATATTAATTTGGAATTTATTTGAAATACAGAATTTATCTTTAATTTTCACAATTTTAAAACTTGAAAGGGTTTGTTTTCGCAAAATCTGTAACCATTTTGATTTTTTAAAACCTCTTTAAACTTACATTTCTATGTTACCAAAGATACGTCCGTCAAAACTGAAGAAAAAACCGATTTGATTTTGTCTCAAATTCAAATGAATGAACTCCAGTCATGTTATCTACGTGTACCATTTTTATTTATTTTAACTTAAAATTCATACCGATCTAATAATATTTTGTCCGCGATCCATTTGCCTTTGTCACATTTTTGAATAAGATAATTGCATAAGCTAACGATATTATACGATCAGTCATCGTTATAGATTAAAATAAGATAATTCTACCTTAAATATTCCGTAAATGGTTTTTGAATTAATACATAACTACATTGGTTTTCAGCTGACTCAAACAAATACAATATTTCCTTTTTAAACTTCTTCACAGCCGAGACACCTGATTGACATAAAGGTTGACTTCAGGTTGACTGCAATTTGCTTCACAGTCTTTTGTCGCATTAAACTGCACTAAATTATTTAAAGAATCAGGCGTGCATCAAAGTCTCAGACTGTTATGGGCCGTGACTCCAAAGTCACGGTGATTACAACTACAAAACAGGATTTTTCTTTTATGTTAATATCTTGCTTTGTTATCACAATAATCCCTTACCCTCCCCAGAATTGTACATTTTCGTAACCTCATCACAACCATTGGGGGAAAAACTTACATGTACATAATTTATCGCTATACTCCTAAATTATTCATTAGCCTTTCAATTTCAGCGACCCAAGAGACACCTAATTTCAAGAGCTGAGGCATTCATATGCCACTTGTGTTTCTTTATTTTACTTTACACAGGTGATGAACCAATCCACAGCTGTGACTTTGTAATGATCCTCTATCTTATATTTAAATGATTCCCCACATGTCATAGTCCCTTAAGCAATTACTGTCATCTTGGCGTATTTCATGTTTCTTTTTTTGAACTTAAGTGATGGAGTTTGTTGGTGCAATTGTTTTAAGATCTGTATCAAATCTATTTTTCTTTATGGTGAACACGAATCATCCAAAAGCTCGATGGTGATGTTTTAGTTCGATTGAGATAGATTGTTTTCACATCCCCATATTTATACTTTCAAACTGTATTCCATTACATGTATGCTCTTATGTTATATATGCTTTTCGTATATCTAAATGTCTTTGACTTGCTGACTCTAGATCAACATGAATATATAACCATTTTGTGACTGAGGCAGAGTGTTGAAGAATGAACACAGAAAACCATAACGGATAAAGTTACTTAAGGACACACGCAACGTAGTTTGAACTTTGTTTTTTTCCCTGGAGTTGAAGAGTTCCAATACTTAAAGGAACTGTGTGCTACATTTTAATGTCTATATATGCTGCTGTACACTTCTTCTAAAACAAGTTTGGATAAACAAAACATTTAGAATATATGTTTAGTATTTGTATATTAATCTTTGAATTATACAAGAATTTTCGTCAATTGATATCTTTTCAAAACCCCTGGTTATGCATGCTGAATTTTTGTCTACAACGTCTGCTGGCATTATAATCTTAAATTAAGAATATCTTGAAAAATTACCAGCAGGTAAGGTACGTTGCGTATATCCTTAGAAGCGGATGGGTTTGCATTCGGTGTAATTTGATTTGTCATTTTATACATATAAAATCAAGATTCTAATTTAAAACAAATGATTTTATATACGTAGAAATGCGTTTGTTGCAAAATGAAGAACATTTTCGGAAAATTATAAGTAAACCCTCAGCCATCACATTTGGGAACTGGAAACGAATACTATTTCCGCTATGTGCATGTACGAGGCCTGATACAGCTAAGTGACAACATTATTACATGTTATGAGAATTTTTTTTTATGATTATCTAGATTTGCATTTCTCATACTGACATGTTTGTTCAGGTTTTATTTTGTTTTTCGCCTCCTAGACAATATCTGCGCACATTACTTAGTATATTTTTGTATTTATACTCCCTGTTTAGCATCTCGGAATTATTTTTTTCTATTTTCTTTCCTTTTTTGTAAAATTTATTGTGTTCATTTTAGTAATTATTTTCGTCGTTGGTGTGAATTAAAACGATAAAACAACAAAATAGACGTCTACATTCATTGGCGAAAATATTGTTGTGTTTATCTAAGATCCATTAAAGCCTGGATCTTAATACAGGGAAGTTAGAATTCTAAGGATCACGTCTAAAACGACAGGCAGACGTGTTTATGACTTGAATTAAGAAACTACGAAGTACATTGCAGATAGAGCAACAAGAACCTCCCAGATTATTCGCTCTTCTTAACCTACACATAATAAAAAATATATTTGACGCTTGTTTAAGCTGGATTTAATGTCTTATCTGATGTTTAATATATTGTAATGGCTAGTGAACTGAATTATAAATTGTCATCAAACCGTGTTTCACTGTTATTTATGGTAAACTAAGTCAGTAAAGTATAAAGTCAAGATTATTGGACAAGTGGAACCGCAGAATCTTCTACAAAATGTATGATAATCTTATTTATTTAATTAAGTAATGCCTTTGCAGTAAAATGAAGCCACGACAGCACCATTTGACAACCTGAAAAGTCCTACATACTCTATATGACTCATTATCATAAATCGCGAATGAAAGCAACCAATGAGGTTTTTTGGTAAATGGTTAATAAGCAAATATGAAGAAACAAGATGCAAAAAAATCCCCTTTTTTTCAATATATATTATTGCAAGAATTTGTAAACACTAGAATAGACAAATGGGATTTGATGCCAAAGGTCAAAGGTAAATTATGTAAGAAGTGTGAATTATTGAAATGATATTAAACAGTTATAATTATCTTGCCGATTGAAAAATAAAATGTATTGATAATTGAGAGAAAAGAAAATTATGCTTAATTAAAATAAGCTAATTTGATTAAATGTTTAGAAAAAAAACCTCTAAAATATTTTTCATATGTCGTTATTAAGGTAAGAGAGAGAGAGAGATAGATATTGTTTACACAGATAATTGTGTAGTTTCTATAAAAAGTGACCCCCTTTATTGACATGAATGGTTCGATCAATCATGAATTGTTCCACTTGTTGTCAGTTATGTGGAATATTTATACGACATATTGATATGCTTCCAGAAGAATGGAATCTGTGAACAAGAACTACTCCTCTGTTAAATAAACAATCTTTCTCACAGATATATGATAGTTATATGACATTTTATCCTTTTTAATTGTCAGTATGACAATTCTTTCCGTGGAATTTGTTCCGGGAAACTTTCTTTGAATGCAGCGGCAAATTGAGATATAAATAGATGCTGAACGTAATTATTTATCGTGTAACTCAGACAAAATCCGGATGCATGAAAAAAAAAAAAAGGTTTCTTTTCTGACTCATTCAATGGGAAATTTATTATGTAAAATGTTGGTAATAAATATGGTCACCTATTCAATCTTAGAAGGATTCATATGTCTAGAAAAAGTAAAATAGTTATAAAAGGACACGATAGAATACATGTAGGTGCCACATAATTCTTTTTATGAGGGATGTTTTCTGTATCTCTAAAATTGTTAAAATAAAAAAGAATATTTATAAAATGTTAGATTCTTTTATTCTTTATGTAAAAAAAGAGTGCAATAATTATTACTATTTTGTTTGATTATTAATCAAGTTTGAAATAATAAAATATAACAAACCAAAAAGAAATATTTAAATTTAGAATTATATTCACACACATTGTAAAAGAAAAAATGCACTTATCAATTTCACCGGGGAAAACCCCCCTGTCAGCTACAATTCAAGCTAAACATTAATGATGTATAATCATAGCACCTTTAAACCGTTTCTAATAAAATTAATCCAACTGCACATAAGGTTAAACCAAATTCATATGGCACAGCGTTTATAAATAGTATCCAACTATGAATAGTATCTATATATAAACCATGATTTAAATTTTAATTGCGAATCATTTATATAAATTATTTGTTTATTACTTCTTTCAAGAGTATCAATCTTTTTTTCTTAAAATTTTTGTTTGTTTAATTGTTTCTTTCTATATTTATCTAAAAAAAAAAAAAATAAAATCAATGATCAATGATTCCACCCAAGTTAATGAAAAAAGAATTAAAAACCATTACAAAATATGAACAAAGACTCTGTCGAATGAGAATTTATACAATTTGACCTTAATGCTCATACACAAATGAACATAAACATGTAATGCTGTTTCTAACACATATCTGTAATTTTGCTTCCCGAGCGACCGCTTGTAATGTAGTAAATGCTTTTTATTTAGGTTACAATTGTTTTTGAAAGACAGGATTACAATCATTAACATCTTGTTATACAAGAATCGGCAACATTTATGCCACACCGATGAACGATGTTTCCTTCATGTTTTACACCAAATCGAGCCCAGAGGGACATTACCATTAATATAAACACATTTGTATACGAAATACACATTTTCTGATAATTTTTTTTTCTTAAAAGAAATTAGTTTGTACAAAATGCTACATGTAGCTCTTATTGAGGTGAACCAATGTCTCATTTTCTTCAAGATCAATAAGTCTGATATACGACTACATATTTATGTACATTTTAACACAGAGCAGTCATGGCAAAGAAGACGCCCTTGTCTCACTTCATTCAGTCATAAAAAATAGAAATGAATGCAGTATGTCTCG